CACCGCTGAGCTGCCGGGTCACCGGCTCGGCTCCTCAGCGAAAACATGAATTAATATGAAGGCCATGGCAGAGCACCCTCCGAGGCCGCGGCCCCAGCCCCCTCACCGGCCTCTATAGCTGGAGCCCTACTACCACCCCCAAAAAATACTTGTAGAGGATAACGGGCTCTAAGGCCCTCTCTGGGCCAAAACCGGGGACTGGAAACCTCCCTGGGCTCAACGGGGGATCTGGAGCCCTCCCTGGGCCGAACGGGGTATCAAGTGCCCTCCCTGGGCTTAACTGGGGAACAGGAGCCCACACTGGAGCGAGCTCTGGAGCTGGAGCCGACACTGGGCCCACAGTCTCTTCCTCTGAAATCTCCTCTTTTGGGCTGAGGAGAGGGAGATGGCCGGCGGGCTTGACATCGGAGCGGCCAGCGGGTTGTGTGAGCCACGGCCGGCAAGCTTGACCTTGGAGCGGCCGGCGGGCTTGACTGAGGATAGATGGGACTAATAGATGATGATCTGCTGAGGATCCGAGCCAGGCTGATGTAATCGTGCAAGGTCCACCTGGACCCAGCCAGTGGCATCCGTTTAACGATCCCCTCATCCAAACCACCCCAGAAACAGTCCACAAGAACGCACCAGTCGAGGGTAGTCTGCTTAGAGCAGGTGAGAAATTCCTGGATGTACTCCTCCAGCGCACGGCCGTCCTGATAAACTGAACATAATCGTTTGAGGGGATCCATAGAGGTAACTGTTATGGTCCGGTCTTCTGTCACAGATCAAGCCGGAGACAACAGGTTAGTGAATGAATGGCAGGTTTATTGACAGGTAAGGTTTAGGCAGAATGACTGAAGCAATGACTGGTGAGTATCCAATACGAATGACAGTTCAATGAGTCTTAGCTGTGTCCTGATGTATGGTTCCTTTGTAGGTGCGCGGAGGGTTCGGGATCCAGGAGCACAAGAGAACAACGGAGAACAATGGATGGAGGTCTTCGGGGGAACTAGTGGTAAGGATAAACAGGTAAATAGCATATAAAGAGTCTGGTAAGGTTCAGAGTTGTGAACGGTAGACCAGACAATGAGTGACTGTGAGGAGCATCTTCTTGAATATGGCTAGATTGGAGACGGCAGGTGCAGGTAAACAAAATACAGGTGAGTGTGATCTGGTGTGAGTGGTGATCGTAACTGAAAACAGGTGTAAGCCGGGGAGGATTCTGGGACATGGAGTCCAGAGCTGGTGACTGGTGACAGAGACTCCCTGACACTGATAAACAAATCCAATTGGTAACTAAACACACACAAACATCTAACAATAACACATGCGTTTAACCATTGCTGTCTCTTTCTCTTCTTCATCTGAAAGGCAGTGTATACAGGCTTTACATATTTACTATATATTGAACTGATCATTGATGATATTTTTTTGTTAAACTGATGAGAGTAAATTTTGTTAAAAATGTGTTGAAATTGTTGAAAGTGAAATTATGGTCAAATTTATGCTGCAATTACTGCCTTTGTTTTATACTAGCAGAAGCTTGAAGATAATGTATATTTACATTCATTCATTTAGCAGGTGCTTGTCCAAGGTGGCTATACAGGTGAAATTATAAAATAAGTTCAATTGAAATTAATATTTAATGGTGAGTAGCTATCTAACAAGTGGTATAATTACTACAGTTAGCCGGTCATTATCGCAAAATAAACTCCTTCAGGGTGATATAAGACTCCTCTATTCCAGGGCCTAATCATCATGCCAGGGTTTATTTTGCCTTAATGACCGGCTGACTGTACTTTATCTCTTCTTAACACTCACTTGCTTGCTTAACCACTTAAAATGACTGGTGATACTGAAACAGGATGATGATATTACAGCTCATGTGGACACAATAAGGGTTATCGGGAAGCTTCTAATAGCACTCACCCTCTTCATTTAATCTCTTGTACAGTGACCTCATCACTTTTGCGCTGCCAAAACGCTTGAAGCGAGAGTGTATATTGTCATGGTACCACCCCAAGGTTCCAATTTTCAGGACCCTGCATTTACAAACAGGTGTAATGTAAAGACTTCATATTAGGAATTAATTATATACATTACTTCATAGTTTACCTAAGTGTATAAGCTGTAAAAAAATTTCCAAATGTAATCCAATGTTGGAACCTTTTCTAACCTGGACATGCGGCAGGGGTCGCATACCCAGCCATGCTCCTTCTTGTTGTAGCGGCTACAGCTCTTGCAGGTGTAGAGTTTACAGTCCATACACTGCCGTTTGCTGTTCACCAGGAACTTAAATGGCTGCAGGCAGCGGATACAGTGAGAGTCAGTCAAGTTTGACTGAGAGCCCAGGAGTTCCCTCTTTGTTTCTTCCTTCTCGATCTTGGATTTAATCTCACTGTGGCGTAATACCAAAAAAGCCAGACAAACAAATTACATACATGATTATGTCACTGAAATAAGCTTTGTGGTTACTTTCTGAAGGCAGGTTGCTTAGGTTGCTTTCTGAAGGCAGGTTTGGCTTAGGCCTAAACTAAAACCAATTTATAATATAATTGAATATTAATAAAGCCACCTATCCACTGATCCTATTCCCTATTACAAATGCACAATATATCTGTACCACATTTTGTCAGCCAATATTAGAGATGGTTTAATTTATCTGTACGGAAGGATATATTATTTACAGTGAATATTGCTTCTGTTTTAACATTTAAATTACCTTTGCCTTCATTTGTTTTCACTTAGTTTCATCTTTAATAACACTAATAATTTACAAACCATGTTAAATATAATCTTTAGAAAATCTCAAGGTGATTAGGAGTTTGTCATACTGTACATTATAACGTTATGATGCCTGAATTCAGTTGTAATAATTAAAGTTACTGATTTTAGTTTTCAGCTTTCCATGTTTGATTTATTTAAACAAAACTTTACAGAATTATTTAGTATTATCCATAGCATAAAACATAATTATATGAGTATCAACTCTGCCAGGATTTTAATATCAGTGCATCTCTAATTTTTATATCAAGACTCATAGAGTCCTTTAAAAGCCTAATCCGTCCCTCGGGTCATTTTGACAAGAAAACTTTTGTCACACTTGAACCGGGAATACACAAAAATAAATTAGAGTGAATTAGAGCAGTTTAAGTGGCTGTTATATAAAAAGTATCAAAAGTGTCCCTTGCAGGTCATTTTGACCCGCCACTGGAAAAGCATGGAATTTATGAAAAAACTGCGGATTTTTTTATTTAATTTTGTCACACTTGAGCATGGAGCACACACAAAAAAGCACACACAGAGTCGATTTGAGGATTATATGTGGGTGTAATAAAAAAAGTAACAAAAGTGTCCCTCTCGGGTCATTTTGACCCAGCCATAGGAATGAATGGAATGTCTGAAAAAAACAGCATTTTTTTTTTATTTTTTTATTTTTTTGACTATACAAAATCTGACACAATCCATAAAAGATGCATACCCAAACAAAGGGCTGAGACTGCAGAATGTCCCCAATGCATAAAAAACTCACATACCCGCACACACAAACACACACACATGGCACACACACTCCCATTGAAACACATTATAGCATGTATGATGTTTTTGCTGGGAAATGGTCATTTTGAAAAAAAAAATGTTGACTTAACACAGTTACATTTGAGTGATGGGGTGGAGACAATGAGTTTATATCATATTTATATTTTTAAATGTATCTTTTATATTTATTACATATTTAAGAAACTGTATGAATACGCATGTGTTTGGATTAAATTTTTTTTACAATTTATAGTGGTTTTTTTATGTGTCGATATATATCTGAAAGCCTTGAGATATATCTGAAAGCTTAATGAAGCCTCAAGTTGGTGTAGTTTTAAAGATTTAACTTGTTTGGCTTATCTCCATGGGATTCTATATGCCCCTCTAGTGGCGGTAATTTTAAAATGCAATTTAATGTCATTTTTCCCCATCAGATGGCATCAGAGACACTCAGTGACCTAGGTCCTGATGGATCATCATGTTTAAAGTATAAATATGCAGAAATTGTCTTTCTTTGTTTTTTTTTGTTTTTTTTTTGGTGAAAAAAATATATAAAAATATGCTGATTAATTTAAAAATAATTTTAAAAAACCTACTTAAAAAAAGATGGCATCAGAGACACTCAGTGACCTAGGTCCTGATGGATCATCATGTTTAAAGTATAAATATGCAGAAATTGTCTTTCTTTGTTTTGTTTTTTTTTGTTTTTTTTGTGAAAAAAATATATTAAAATATGCTGATTAATTTAAAAATAATTTTAAAAAACCTACTTAAAAAATTAGAAAAAAATATATAAAAATGAGCCAATATAAGCTTTCTGGTGTCATTTTTGGCCTTCGGGTCATTTTGACCCGTGAGGGACACTTTTGTTATAGGTTCGGGAGGGACGGATGAGGGTTTTTAATGTCAGTCAACATTGTGAATGCAATGCTTTCAAAACCTCAGTTAGTCACACAAAGTTAATTTACCAGTATATTCACCATAATACATAAAATTAGCATTACAACACATAATTGGTGCTGTAAAAGACTATGATCAAGAATTCAACTTGAATTCAAGTCATATATAACTGTCCTTGCCAACAAATAGAAAAGAACATCTTCCAAATAACAATTCAATAACCACACAGAGACCTCCTTGTACAAAAAGAATAGAGCTCTGGGGCATGATGTTTTCCCAGCCAGTGGAATGGTGTGATCAGGCCTTGTGACTGTACCATGATCATCATGATGTCTTTACAACAAGTGGCCTTTCTCATAACCTTGTTCCGCTAGCGTGTATGATATACAGATAAATATAGAAGAAATGATGCAATTGTACCTCACAGTTCACTAAACCATCTATGTCTTTTGGATTCAGTGCTGGCTGGCTCCAATGACATATGTTAACCAATTAACCAGAGTTAAATCATGTCAGATTTGTCTCTATGGTAATATAGATTAATCATGTAAATTAAAGTCCTTACCCAAGCCTCTCCTCTTCCTTCTTCCTGAGGTCAAAATCTCTTTGAATGACCTCCCACACATGTTTGGCCTCCTCTTCTGTTAGTCTGGACAGGTCCAACTTCTTGTCCATATTCGGAGCTTAGTTGATCTTCTTTAAACAAAATGAACAGTAAACATGACATATATAAGAAGTCTATGGATAATGCAAATCTTATCATTCCACCTCTCTACCTTACAGAGATAACAGGTTTCCATTATGAGGTACCAGAATATGCAACATGATCACATACCATATGAAGCACTGCAGTCATAATCATGATCAAAAGTTCATTCATTGGGTATGACTGTTTTCAGTCCAGTCTCAGCAGCTCCTTTAAATAAAGATGCATTTAAATACTCTCAACATGTCTACAAAATAATTTTATTGTGTAAACACCTCTATCAGTAATTCAAATGAAGTTTTTGAAAGAAGCATTAACGTATTAAAATAAATTAGAACACAATAACTGCAATATCATTCATAAATAAAAAAAATAACATGCTGAATGATTTCCTTTAAATATCAATGACACCACTGCTGTGTGTAAATGTGGCACTGGTGTCATTCTAATAGTGCATTGATTATCATGGCTCCTCACAGATACAACATTCATGATGTGATCATGTAATAATTTCAGCCATAGTGCTATGAGTAAATGAACCCAGGAAATTAATCAAGTCTGACAGATACCTGTTGCGATCATTAGAAAATCGCAGTGTGGCAGCATGAATGCACTCTTCACATTCATAACTTTAATGGCAGTAAGAACAATTTATTTAATATCACTGAAATTATATACCTATTAAAACATTAAAAAGCAGACTTGATAATGAAGATTTTGTTTACCTTGCTTGCAGACAAGTAGCTGCTCTTGCCAAGTGTCTCAGGATGAGGCAGATAATGTGAGGATTGTCAGAGGTATGGCAATCATAATCACATGTCTAGTTTGTGGTGGAGGAAAAGCTCCACCCTTTCCTTGCTTGAAATAAACAGAATAACGAATGCATTAAAATAATAACTGTTATCTGAAGAGAGATTATTAGTTTTTGTATTTTATTCTTTGCTTTTGTCACATTGATTCTTTTTTCTTATTCATTTTATTGTACAACAAACAGTTGGTTGAACGTTAGCTTATTTCATGTTACTTCTGTTAATATAGTTTATCTTTATTTCGGTTTTTAATCTATGTTTTTATGTTTTATACAACAGATAGTCCAACAGCACTGGGACTATTACTGTTTCTGTCTGTATAGTAGGATTTTTATACATATTTTTCATTGTCAGAAGGCATTCATGTTAAATGAGATTGAGGTATGACATAATATTCATCTATAAGTTGTATTGTAAGTAAACCTCATTGGTTCTTGCACATCAAGCCAGCACCTTTGATCTTCTGTTTACTATATTTGATTTGCTCTATGCATGTGCATCGATTAGCGGATATATGGGAATAAAAGCATAAATTAAATCTGTTCATTACATTAAGTGATCGTGTCTCTTCAGAAGACTTTAAACTGCTTGATTTATATGCATTTCTCTGATGATCTTTTTATGAACTTTGTGAAGCATCAAAGAATTGGTGTAATGGACTTTCAATTGGAGGAACAAAACTCTCAGGTTTCATTAAAAATATCTTAATTTGTGTTTTTTAAAGATTAGCTACAATAAATGGTTTCAGAACAACATGAGGGTGAGTAAATGATAACATTTTTGTGTTTTAGTTTTACATTTATGTGACTTTCCTAAGTAATGTTGGTGCACCCTACAGTGGTGCCTATGAGGCATATGGCAAGATGACAGAGTGAATGTTTCTATTTACTGTATGCCCATCTACAGGCAATGTCTGTGGTGGCTAAAAATGAATGTGGGATAGTTTTACGCATCATAGCGCAGTCTTAGATGTGCACCCTGTAATACCATATACCAAAACAATATTTTGTATTCAAAATGACACAGCAGTTACTATCCTTGCATTAAGTAGATAAACAAAATGCAAGAGTCTCTGCATTAGTAGTTATCAGAAAAGCCCCTCTCCAGAACTGTGGTTCAGGCAAAACTAAATAAGTAAAAAATACTGTTTTATTCACGTTGTAGGTTAAAAGGTTGAATGAGAGAATGCCCTTTAGTGCAAGGGGCTAGACTATGGGAAAGCTGATTCATTACTCTAAAATTAGCCCCCATGTACTGCTCTGGCCTTAGGTGCTGGCTAGGGGAAGTCCTCCTTTTATTTAGGGAAGCATTGCTGAGCTTTCAGTGACTTTTCTGGTGTGCCAAATGGATCTTTGCACACACTGGTTGAGTGTGTTGAGATGCAAAGTAGGAGTTTCTTAAAAGTAAATGTGGTTAAATAGAGAAGAATGAAACTGACAGATTAAGGTTAAAGCTGTAACCAGAGTCAGAAATGAAAACGCCCAGTGTGGGCAAAATAATTTCATGCTGTAAACAAAGTAGGCTATTATTTAAACAATATTATTTTGAGTCTGAAGTTAATTTCCTTGTGGAAAATAAGATATCTCTATTAGGAGTGAAAAATATACAATATCATATCACATAATGATAACAATTTATTGCCATACAAAAATGTAACAATATGTATTGTGGAGAGTGACAATTTGAATTGAGTATAGTTCACCCAAAACGAAAGTTTAAAATATAAACGTAGCATCAAATATGGTAAACCCAAATTGGCATACATTTAAGCTTCTGTGTTAATTATTATTAATAAATTAAAAATAAAATACATTATTTAATAAAATACAATATCTACAACTTTTTAAATGTGTGTAATCAGGGACAGAGTGCAAGCATTTGTGTCTAACATGATACTGTACTTATTAGCTAAGAGAATTATGAATATTTCTATTTTGGTGGCACCATACATGGGAAAGAAAGACATAATCTAAACCTACTCAGGTCCACCCCAATACCAAATTTAGAATTTTGTTGAACAGCACTTTTTGTTGACTGATTATCATATGTCTTAGAAGAATGAAACAAATAATAACTCTACCACTTAACTCTATTTTGGCTTTGTTTAAAATATCATGAGATCAGTATCGAACTGATTCGTTGTTACACTTCTAATATCTGTATTATGTTTTTGTACTTAAAATGACGATTAGTAATATACAAGTTGTGAACATTAATCAATTGTTTTATGGAAAATCTTGGAAGAACACCTTTAAAGTAATTTGTTTCTAGATTGAGTTTTGTTATAAAATAAGTGTTGAGTTTTGACCCGCACATGCACACACTTCATCTCGTGCCAGAATGGCCTCCAGTGTGTTAGAAACATGAAAGCTGAGCCTCAAACTAAACAGATAAATATACATGACAGACATCCACAATACTATTCACGGCTGCTCAGGTCAACATACTTGGAAAGTTTTAAATCAAGAGGTCAACCCTGCAAACAGTTGTTATTTTATATTGTTTAAAACCACCTTTTTTTCTCTCTCATAAACAGACACAGAATTGTTATTGTCCTTTAAGTTTGTTGTTTCTAAATGTCTCTACAAAAAAGTACAGTTAAATGTAAAGATTTGCGTCTAAATTTGTTATTGAATGTGTTATAACCTAGTCCACGCTGAGCAGTGGTGGATAAAGTGCTTGAAAGCCACACTTAAGTAAAAGTATAAATATCTTACTAGAAAAGGACTTTGGTAGAATTGAAAGTCACCGTTTAGAATATTACTTGAGTAAAAGTTCTAAAGTATGTGATAATTATTGTACTTAAGTATGAAAAGTGATTTATATATATATATATATATATATATATATATATATATATATATATATATATATATATATATATATATATTA